ATAAAACGCTCAACAATTGCAGCTATAAAAAACGGCTAATCAATTTGTTTGTCAATAAAAAACACAACAAACGCAAATGCCATTACTGAATGCACGTTTCTATTTAAATAACATTAAAAGCACAAGTAAATGTCATAATTCAAATTAACAGACAGCAGCTGTCCGTTAACAGTGTTGTGAAAGTGTAAACAAGGGAAGCGCGATCAAAACAACATTTGCACTGCTTTCATTTGAACTGCTTGCTCATCTTATACGCAAGCGTGCATTGGCAGAAAATACGCGATTAGAGTTAAGGTTTGTTTAATTTATATATATTCAACTTTTCTGTTGCCAAGAACTATACAAATTAATTTAAAAAAATATATTTACTTATTTTTATGGGAATTTGCGTCTTAACAGTTAATGTTAATACCATGCAAACCGGACAGAGTTAAAGCCGAGCTGGGTTGTGATTACTGCGCAGCCAATCAGCCATACAAAGTAAGTGGGTGTGTGTGTGTGTAGGTGGGCGTGTGTGTGTGTGTGTGTTGGCCATGTTGTGGGACAACATGCTCGGCACATATAAGAAATTAACTTAAAAAGTCATTTTGCAGGCAGACAGCGTGCTAAAGAGGCAGCGAGAAGGTGCCACAGCGGGAATGAGAAAAAAGGATTAATTGCATGAGGCGAGAGAGAGAAACAGAGAGAGAGAGAGAGAGAGAGATAGAGAGAGATAGAGACATGACATCATCAGCAACGGCAAATGGCGATGGCAACGCGGCGTATAAAGCACTGAGAGCACTGAATATCCTGGCTTTTCTATAAGCCATTGACTTGCACATCTGCGTCCACATTCGCATCCTTTGCCAGCACAACACAAACACACACACACACACTCACACACACAGGCAGGCAGGCTGAAGGATGTGCGACTCGCGCATGTGTGGTGTATTTTTTAATAGTGTTTCGTGTGCCTCTTGGCGTTAATTTATGCCACAAAATCATTTTCTTTTATACTCGCAGCCACATGCAAAATAAAAATTAAAACCGAAATATGAAAAAGGCAAAATATATACATACATACATAAAAAAAAAAAAGACATGAGAAAATAAAAGCAACTACACGAGTTGCTTCGTGCATGCAAATTGCGTTGCAGCGCCCGCGGCGATGAGACGCAGTTTATGTCAAGTGAAAAATGAGTGCGAACTATGACATGAAATATGAGCGCATCCCAAATACATCCCACCCCCCCACCCCCTCACCCCCTCATCATCCCCGCAACCCCTTTCCAGTGCGCTGCACCATTTATTAGTGCGCTTTGAAAATGACTACAAAAATCTAAATAAAATAAGACGAAAACAAAAACGCAAGTTGGAACATTCTGAGTGAAAGTGCTGCATCCAGAGATACCCTGTAGACAATTGACTTGAGGTTTTAATGTGGCATTGATCAAATCAAAATGATTATTTTTACAATTTTGTCTTGAATGGTGGAGGTACATAATAATTTGTTATTTGTGTACCTTAATTTTCGAGGCATGCGTTTAGAATCATGCCTCAAAATCGATATTTATCGATATTATGATAATGGCAGGATAGTTCGTAAAATATTATAAGCTCATTCTGCGTATGAAATAAAAGAAAAATCTATATTAATCGATATTCTGATAATGGCAGGAGAAATCGCAAAACACATTAAACTCATTCAGCTTATGGTATAGGAAAATCGATGTTTATCGACCAAATTATTAAACTCATTCTGCGTAAGGAATGGGAAAAAATTGATAGTTATCGATATTATGATAATAAGCATAATCGACAATATGATAATGGGAGTTGATATTGCTGTAAATAATAATCCAATTCTGCGTAGGGTATAGGAGAAAACCGATATTTATCGATATAATGATTCTGCATACGATATAGGAAAGGTCAACAAACGGACAGACAGATATATATGGCTAGATCGACTCAGCTGGACGTCCTGAGCAAGAACATACCGACATATTTTATGGGGTCGAGGATGCCTGTCTTCCATCTGTGTGTTACATACATTTGCACAAAGCTATTATACCCATTTGCAATGAATTTAGGGTATCAAAAATGCCATAGCATTGCAAATTAAAGTCTACGATTAGCTCATAGTTCAAGCGAAATTTCGAATCGAAACCGAAAACGTAAACAAAAACACATAAATAACGAACTGTTTGACATGAGCCGAGCCGAGCCTGATAAGAATGCCTCTACAAAAAAATAGAGAATACACAAAATAATTATAAGAATCTATATACATTATGTTACGTGGTGTTTTGTTTCAATCAAATTTGTCTCGAGTCAATTGCGAATTTGTGCAAAAATAAAGAAAAAAGATGAAAACAACTTGAAAAAGTTCAAATCGCAATTGAATAGTTCGCGGTTGCCCCCCGCGACCCGACCAAGACAGACAGCGCAAGTTGTGTATTCTAAGACGCAGTTAAATGATTCGACTCAATTGAAACAGGCCTATGTTGTAGATTTCATGGTCATCTATACTATAAAAGCCCCACATACTTACTATCTACACTGTTTCAATGTCCACCAGACAAGGCCGCCGTTTCATGTTCAAAGCCATTTGTCGTTTTCACTGGCATTGGAGGAGGTTGTGCAAATTGAGGAATTGCAATATAGTATTAGATGTGCATAGATACCAAGTAATGCATGCGATAACTGGGTTAGCGTGTACACATCGTTCAAGATCTCAAGATCTCTCAAGGCGGCTTGAAACAAAAACCTCTACAATTAGCAGCTTCTAAGCCCCATTTTCACTTTTCGCCAAGGTATCCTTGCATTAGAAATCTGTTGTTTTAGACATTTTGTTCCTAGTCCGATCGACTTAATAGTCATCTTTGTTTAAATGTTAAAAATAGGAAATCGCTGATTGCGCAAAGTTTGATTGAGGTAAGTTTCAATGTAACGATAAAAACTTATCTCGGACTAGGCTATGTATTAACCGCAATGTATGTTCTCTTCAAGCAATCGCAAGCCCAGTTTTTCTCTGCTGAGCTACAAGGTTGAAAAAGAAACGTATTTTTAAAATAATGCCTTTCTATGCAATTCTCATGAATTCAAGGGAGACTTAAAGATTTGTATGCTTGTTGTGTTGGTGAAATAAAAAGCTTTATCTCTCGCTATAGTTAACTACTATCCAGTCTCTCTCTCTCCCTCTCTCCCTCTCTCTCTCTGTCTTCTTCTTCTATTTTCTTTAAGTAATATGTAAATATAAAAGTTTATCTTCCTCCTACGTTCTCCTTCCTTCTGAGTGTGTCTGTGCATTGTTGGTTTAGTACATATTTACATAATTTATATCTACACAGACTTCAGTAAAAACTTATAATCCAAAAGGCATTAGTGGCCCTATGGAATCCGTATCCTCCATGCATAGTTGCCTTCCACAACCCATTTTTCTCAGGATGGCGATTAGCAGAATAAATCGAGAGCACGTTTATTTAGAAATCTAAAAGGTATATCCACTCACTCAATATGTTGCCTTGGCTCAATTCATTCAACTTACGTGAAAAATATAAAACAACGCAGCACGATTTCAATATGACAATCGCCCACTCAACTAAAACTCGACTATAAATAACGACATGAAATAAACATTTAAAATTTTGCTGCGAAATCGCGCGCAACTATAAAATATTTAGAGAAAATAAAGAAACAAGAAGATGGAATCAACATAAATAAAGCATAAATAATAAAAGCTAAAAGTACATCTGAGAGCCAGACACGAGTACGTGCCTCTGTTGTCTGATAAATGATTCGAACGCGAATGCTCAGCAAGGACGTTTATTTTTAAAATCAAGAAATCATATATTATGTGTGCACAGATTCCAAAAAAGATTCACTTGGAAAACGCTTGAGGCTATGGAATATACGAGAATCCGAATCGGAATCGGAATCTTGTTAGCTTGAACCAGCGCTGAACTTGACATTGAAACCCAAAACGGGGAGATTAGTTATATATAACAGAGTTTCTCTCTATATATATGAGTATATATATAGCTGGAAAAATAGAACAGAGATTACGCTAAAGATTGATCAGAAGCAGAGCTCTGGCCACACAACTGTACAGGCATTGATATATGGACACGTGACACTCGCAAGCATCATCAGCATGATCAACATCTTCATCATCATCATCATGGGCCCCCATATCATCCCGGAGAGCGGCCCGCTGATAAGAACCGCCTGAGTGACCTGGTGGACAACCTTTGTGGCTCTTTCTTTGGCTATGATTCAGCCCGTCGAGCACTTACATAATCAGCGCGATGTTTACACATTAGTCATGTGAGTGCCGGGAGAGAAAGCGACAGAGAGAGAAAGAGAGAGAGAGAGAGAGACAGTATTCGAAATACAATTCAAAATATTTACAGAGCATTTCATTACAGCACTTCAAATATTTCACAACAATTACTCGTACAGTTGTCGCATAAAGAAATTTATTAATAATGTCAGATTGACATATAGAGATTAGTCCAGCCATCAGCTGACTAGGTGGGCAGCGGAACCAATATACTCTACTCCATTAATTAAACAGAGTATCAAAAGTTTGAAGAATTGTTTGTCTAAAAATAGTTGTATATTGTTACTGGGCTCTATTGGAAAGCCTTCACTTGGTCTGCAGATTACACGACTTCATCAGGAAAGCCCAACGACAATTAAAGTTGGGGCATTATTATATTAGATCAATTAGACCCATCGAAAGAGTCCAATACAACATGTGATCGACTCACGCGCTCTGCAATGCACTCAACGCAAATCATTTGAATGGACCATCAAATACTTCGAATCAATTAGAATTTATGTGGCCTTTCATGCTCTGTTCACATAACTGACTATGGGTATATTGATTTTCTGCTAAAGACTCATAACTTGAGTGTAATATTTATGTTTAAATATTTTCTGCTATATGGAGGTATTTCATAGAACACAGGACAGAAAAGCAAAGATTATTAAAGGGAATGCTGAACGAAATTTTTGAAGATATTCTCAAAAATAAACTCGGAGACAAATCAGGAAGAACTTTTTAAAGCTGCAAAGCACATTTCAATAATGTTTAGATTGAAGAGTACATTTAATCTCTGAGTATGCTAACTAGAAGAAAAAAAAGCCTTTAACTGTGAGTCTCCCCAGCAAGGCTGCAAATATTCAGTCAAAAATTATTATTAATAATTTTTAACGGCCTTCGCAGCGTTGGGTTCCATTAAAGCTCGCCCATTGAAGCAGCCCAAGCCCCAATTAATTCATCTGATCGCATCACGCGCACGCTCCTCACGTGCTCTGAAATGCTCTGAAATTTATGAGACTAATTGTTTATTGAACAACCAAAGCAAAGTCGAAGTCACTCGACTGGAAGATACCCCGTTTAGCAATTTGAATACACTTTTTATAATTTACGAAATGAATAACAAAATCTGAGCAAGTATATGAACCTATTTGGATGAAAAGTGTATACATTTTTTTATAAGCATTAAAGCCAACCTACACCCTGCCCAGAGAACAAGTGCTTCCTCTTGATTTATAGCTATATAAGCTATACCAGGGTACAGCAAAATTCTCCATTCACGCAGTCCGTTCCAGTTATACGCAGATCCTCGGCGCAAAACGTCATGCAGATCGCCAGATTTGAAGGACATGGCTCTTCGAAGGCAACGGAAGAGTTGCAGGTGAGGAACAAGGGTGAGGGAATGGTTTGGAAGTAGTTGATGTGGGTAAAGTAATAAAGAAAAGGAAAACAAAAACAACAGATGAGTATATCAGGTAATATCAATCAATCAAAAATGAATATAGAAATTAGTTTAGGAATTGCGATAAACATTTGGATAAATTCAGATTTACGTACTTGTGGAATTGACAATGATATCATTCCCCTCTAAAACATCATCCGCGAAGACGAATTGCAGCATTAGAGCTGACACCAGGCCGAGATATAAGAGGTTCCTCTTAGGTGACATCTTGAATGGAGTCTGCTGCGACATCAGGCTGAGGCTTAAATAGCAATCATCCCATCAACACTAAGAGAGACTAATTAGATAGGTTCCAGCCAGGAAGGCGTACAAAATCTCGTTAAGAAAAGATACTAAACGCAATATTTTAAATAAGTTAAGAATTGTAAATAATAAAAACGCCTTTCGCAACGTTACGGCGCATTAGAGATCAACCCTTGGGACAGTCCGACGAACAGATACCCATTAAAATTAATTTAGCTAATTGATGCTCTCGTGCACGATCCTCACATGATCCGATATACTCTAAAACACATTGTATTTATGGAAGCTCGACTAAAAGTTACCCTGTGACAATTTGAATGCGCTTCTCTTTAGGCAAGTATTCCCTCTATGAAAGTATTCCCTCTTTTTATATAGAACCCATATACCAAATTTCTGGGATCTAATAAACTAGGCAGATTTAGCAGAATGGTAAACTCTGTCTGCTTTTTTAGTTGATGTGACTAAGTAAATCAATTGGAAATTCATTTTGTTTTTTTCAAAATATTTACAGTGTTTTTGTTTTATTAGAACAGTAGAACAGTATTTCATATAAAAATTATTCGTACAATATATAAGTTAAAGTATCGTTAAATATAGTCTACAGTTGACAAATGTTGCTCATTGATTTATAGATTATATTACATAACGTAGTCTAGATCAAAACACAGCAAAACTCTCCATTCTCGCAGTCCGTTCCAGGCCTCTGCAGTCCCTGGCCGCAGTACTCCATGCAGGCGCCCAGATGCTGTGCACACGGCGCTGGTCTAACCGGCACTGCAACGGCAGGTGGGTAGGTAGGAATGCAGGTGAGTTATCGTAGGGGGGGGAGGGGGAGAGAGGAGCAATAGGCGAAGATAGACGAGCGTTGTTAGTAGACATTTTGGGCGCAGTTGATGATGTGGGGAAAACGAAAACAAAAACGAAAACGAAAACAAGAACAAGAGATGAGTACATCAAGTAATACCAATCAATCAATAATTAATATAGGAAATAGTTTGGATAGGAATTTCGTTTAGGAATTGCGATAAGCGTTTGGATAAATAACTGTGTGAGATGTTAAGGCGTTATAAGCAAGCTGCTATATCCAGTTTGTATCTATTCGTATGCTCTATACTCACACTCGTAGCAACACTCGACGCCCAAATGGGCGCTGGTGGGGCACAGGCCCTTGTTCGTGGTGGGCAGGTTGCAGTCGCTGGTGTGCACGCACAGTCCGCCGACCAGGACACAATGCCGATCATTGGGATACACACGCACGCCCTGAAGCACTGCATAAACATTATATTATCATATTAAATCCATATATCTCGTGTGTCCAGCTGCACTTACTATATTCGGGACTATTATTGTCGTTCACTTCGTTTGTCTCGATATCCGCACTGATCAATTGCAGCACTAGGGCCGACACCAGGCACAGGCCAAGAAATTTGATTGTATTTGACATAATTGTTATCTGTTATTTTGTTTCTATTTGTATTGAATTTGTATTTTGTCACTGCCGTATACAAAGTAATCCACACGATAGCACGGTTTGTGTAGCACTGAGCGTCTCCAAATCCGTTCCAGATGCTTTTCAACAAAAATTTTTGTCGAATAGAAACCACGAACTGTTGTTTTGCACAACTCGACGAACGATCGACAAATGCGCGCAGCGGCAGAGGCTGGCTCCGAGGCGGCCAGAGAGCCAGAGACGACAACAGACACATAGATGGAGAGGGCGATGACATAGAGAGAGAGAGAGGGGGGGGGGGGGGCATGCTGGCCAGAGCAGATAGTGCTGTATGCGGGCGCTCAGTTCAATTGAAGAGCGTGAGAGCCATTAATAATATTGGCGCGTTTGCAAACAACAGCAGGAAAACCCAACGCGACGAGCGGCGCATAAAAGATCAGCCGGCAATAGTCCAGCAGGCAGCAGCAACAACAACAACAACAGCAACAACTGCAACAACAACAACAACAAGAGCAAACCCGAACCCGAACCAAATAAAAATATAACAAAACATAATTAATTTGAAGTACTCACGCGCTCTGAAAAGCACGCCAATAACTTAATGAATGGGCCATCAAATATTTAGTTTCAAGTCGTATTTATGAGTTCTTTTTATTTATTGAATAGCTGCAGCGCTGAGGAATGCTCGGCCAGCTAGTTACCCTGTAAGTACGTTAATCAACATTTAAAGTAAACGCTGAAAGCAATAGAAGAACCTAACTACTTCAAATAAACGTGAAAAGTTCGCATTTGGTGCAGAGAAAAACTGAATTAAGTGTTGGAAAATTGAGCTTAAAGTAGAGAACATTTAATAGTGTAGGTTAAGGAGCTTCGAATCGCTGTTCTGTTCTTTTGCCTGGAAATGTTGGAAAATATAAATGAATTTAAATACTTAAAATAAACATGAAACATTCTAAGTGGAAGAAGAGCTAAACTTGGATTAAATTTATACGTTTTTTAGTGTTAGAAAATTGAGATTAAAAAATGAAAAATTTAGATTTTTAGAATTCGAAATTTCGACTTGATGTTCGGTTGTGTTTATTCCTTAAAAATCTTCCTGGAAATGTTAGAAAAAATAATAAGAAATTAAATTTGAACGTTCTTGGTTGAGGTACCGAACAACTTGGATTGAATTTAGGAATTATATATATGTGTTATATGTTTTAGTATTGAAAAATTCAGTTTAAGCAAAGAGTATTTTAATTTTTAGTTTAAGAAACTTCCAATTCTGTTCTGTTGTTTTTATTGAGTATATTTCTGTAAAATTTGTCTGAAAATATACGAAACAATTCGATTTATTCAAATACCTAAAATGAACCTGAAACGTTCTCAGTTAAACTGCAGAGTAACTTGTTTTTGAATTTATGAGTCTTTTAGTGTTGGTAAATCAATTTTAATGAAAGATACATTTTAGTTGAATGTTATTTTAGATTCTGTTCTTTTCTTTGAGTATATTTCTGTTTAAATGTTGGCAAAAAAATCGAGGAAAAAAACAAGTATCTTGCTTTTGAAATTGCCTGGAGATGCGCACAACCTATATCAGACCTACATCTGCGCAATAGTAATTAATATTCAATTTATATTGATTTCTAGGTTTGTCAGAGAAAAGACTATTCAATGGAAAGCAATATGAAGCGACCCGTCGTATCGAATTCCATTTACGCGTTGAGGAGAGTTTAGATTATACCTTATGGGCACTTGCGCAACGGCATGACAGCCCTTTGGGCATCTCTTTGTTTACGGGGTATTCGAGGAGGCGCCAGCCCATAAAGCAATCAAGAAGTAAAACTTCTTTATGATTAACCGCATTTATCGAGGCGTAACGTGATTTAACTGCATTTTAAAGCAAATGATCTGGTTCGGCGCTCCCAAAGTGTGCATGTGTGTGTGTGTGTGTGTGTGTGTGTGTACATGTGTTTGTGTGGATGTAGAAACAATCTGTTATTGTTATCAGCTCGCATGGATTTCGTGAGCGTGCTTGGGTCCGTCTGTCTGAAGTTTTGTCTTTTTGGAAAACAAATTCAATTTCATCAAAATGTGCAAGAACGAAACAGAACAACGTCATGTGATGCTGTCCAAGAATGTTCTCTATTAAACAGATGGCTGACCCCCGTTAATAACAATCATCATTAACTGATCAGACAAACAAACGCCCAAGAGCTGATGTTAGACGACAAAAATACCCTGTAGCCTGTACCCCTGATTAGCTGTAAGTTGTGCAAATTAGTATAGAAAAAATAAAACGTGTGTTTCGCTCTCGAAACGAAACTATGAATGAACTTGACGGATGCTCTCTGCAACAGTTTTGTTGAAAGTAATCATCTCTATTGATTGACCCTGAGATACAATAATCTGTGTGCCTAGAACTTTCATTGAAAATCCCCGACTTTAGTCATCGCGAACTGATAACATTTCCTTTTTTTTATGTTGAACACGTTCAGTTTTGCGTGCAAAACAAATAGAGAACAGCAGCTTATTCACATTACTGACGTTCTTATCAAGAAAATAATGGAAAGGTGGGAAGTACAATTGCCTAATTCAACTTGAACACCTGTAAACGACAGCTGGAGATGAACTACATCAGGTGTGTATGTATTTTTTTGGGTCACGGCTATGAATGGAGTGTATGAAAACAAATTGAAAACGTATCGTATTTATATATAGTTTACTTGGGTTCAATTTTGTAGATAAGGATGGATGCAATTAGAATTTAAAAAGTTTCTCTCGAAAAAAAAATGCATTTATTGCGCCCGCTGGTTTGTGTCTCGGCTAATTTTGGCGTGTCGCCACTGCTTGCTAAGCTGTGCGTTTGTGTTCGCACACACAGCTTGGTATGCCATTACTGCGCTGCACTGCTTTTATAACAGCTGTTGTTTGCACTGCTTGGCAAACTGCTTAAAATTCGGTTTTTTTTTCAAACGAGTGAATCATTTTCTTGCGAAATCCCATAGCTACAGAGATAGTCTTTGCATACTCATCCCAAACGAGAATTAAAGAAGTATTCGTCATGATTTTAAATGGAAATTTATACATTTTATTAGTTAATAACAGGCTAGAGTAATTGTAATTGAAAAGACAAAGTAAAAATTAATTATAAATGGACTACAGCAAAATATGTATGCATATTCTGTCATTCAGTCTTTGTTAACATTTCAACTAACAGTAATATGTATATCGCTTACATCTAATGTTTAACAATTTCTATAAAATACAATTAACTATAATACATTTCACACTGCACTACGAAAATGGCCGTCGTTTTTGGACAAAACGAGGGCATTTCGCATGTGGCACCAGCTGCATGCACAGTAAATATCACAGAGACGTTAATTATACAGCCCGCATACGGATAAAAGCTTAAGCCTTATCATTTCTGCGGCTTCGGCCGCTCATCAATTGTGTAGATACTGGCGGGTACGGGGGATACGGGCGACGCATTCGACTCATCATTGCCCTTATTCTCGCTGTTAAAGGGTATCACAAAGATGCTCGTCTTGGCCGCATGTTGCATTTTGATAACTGTATCATAGCTCGGTGGCGCGAATTCACTGTACGATGGCGAAGGCGTGGGCGGTGCACGTTGTGTCTCACTGGGCGTGGCATTCGCTTGGCGACTACGCATATCGCGACAACGTCTGTCCGAGCAGGCCATCAGCATAAAGAAGGCGGCCAGTGCCAGAAACGTGGCCACATACCACACAATGGTAATCACATCCATTGCCGTCTGAGATAGTTCGTTGTTGGGCTCAACAACTGCTGAAATTGGATAAAGACAAAACAAATCTTTAGTGAAAAGTCAATTAAAATGGACAGCTACAAATTGATAAGTAAAAAGTCGTGGCTATATCTTAGATCATAGCTATAGCTTGAGATCGGGAGAACCTCTCTGTGAAACGAACGGAATTTAAGCCCGAAAGCTTCTTTAAGTGGGAAAGTTGGCAAAAATGGAATACAACCTGGAACAGGAGGCTAATTCTATATAAAATTAGGTAACCTTCTGAACTCTTTCAGATTCTATAAATAACGAGTAGAATTTTGCGTTCATTTTAATATGCTAGATTATATTCGCAACACTCAAAATTAAATATACTTTTCTTTTTCTGGTCTAGTTTTATAAAACCCCTTATAGGTATGCAAGGAAAAGTGCCCGACTAGAGTACACCCTAAATCTAAGAGATTTGTTCAAAATAACAGCATTTTCTGACAGCCAGTCGGACAGATAGACGGACATGGCTAAATCGACTCGACTATTGATGCTGACCATGAATATATATACTTGATAAGGTCGTAGATGCTTCCCTTTTTACCTATTTCCATAGGTTAAGGGTATAAAAAGAAAGTTCTAAAGAAAGAGAGTGCCTAAAAGAATAGTTTAATTTTAAATAACGCATCCATTTATCAACTTTTGACTAAATGAAAAATCTAATTCGATTCGATTATGTTTTTTTGCATACAGAAATCACCTCTAAAATCATTATTAATGTATATCATAGTACATGTTTTTCCGGCCAAATAGATTCCCCTCATCAGCTGAAACTGTATCCAAGCGACAAATGTTAAATGTGTCATTCAGTTGATGACGCAAAAAGAGTTCGATTTTGTGAAACGCGTCACAGTCCAACGAGCACCTGATACGAGGGGATTGTCTTGTTCCCAGCTGAACTGAACGCTAAATGCTTTTATTATAACCTGTTTGTCAGCCAATTATTAAGTTGTAAGTTACGACTGCAAATGGTTAATAACGGCAAAACGTTCATATATTATATTATTTAATGTGTCTATAGACTTTGTATGCCTTGTAACAGACCTTTTCATACTCACAGGAAAACATTTGAAATGAATTAAATATGGTATATAGATAGATAATTGTATGTACAGCAAATGCGACAAATCTTTATGTGTTCGGCTTGTATTGATGCCTAAGCTGGGCTTATGATAGGGAAGTCTATTCTCAGAAATGAAATTCTACTCCAAATTAACCCAACTTTCTTGCCTGAGATTCCTAGCTACTATGCTAACTGAAAATGGGCAAAAGGGGTATATTGCTTTTGTGTAATTGTATGTAACAGGTTGAAGAAAGCATCTCCGAACTCTTAAAGTAAAGACATTCTTGATGAGCATCAATAGCCGAGTTGATCTAGCCAAGTCCGTCCGACCGTCTGCTTGTCCGTCTGTTTGTGCGTCCGTCTGTCCGTCCGTGTGTATGAACGCGTCGATCTCGGCAGCAACAAGATCAAGAGTCTTGAAATGTTGAACGTAGGTCCACCTAGTGCCTATGCAGTTCGAGTTTGTTTTCTCTAATCGATAACTTGCTCCGTTTTCAAGCGATCAATCAAAATCGATATCGAAATCCTCTTTTTAGAGCAAATCTCGTAGATCTTAAGAGCTAGTTTCCCCAAACTTGACATGTAGTTTCTCAAATAGTATTTACAGATCAAGTAACTTCAATTTTGTAGCTACCATAAACCCCATTTTGCGCGAGCTGTCTTTTATATAGATAGAAGTTGGGTCAGGGTATCCCGTAGTCGTTTTAAACTCTTTCAATCTCTAATCAAAATACTTACTATTTTTATAGACAAATATTCTTGTATTATTATCCACTTGCTCGGCAAACAGATCCGTCTCGGTTGTACCATTCACAGTCGTTAGATTATATGGCAGCTGTCGTGTAAGAACGTTCTCCAAGGTTAACAGATAGGACTGACCATGTGCTCCGGTCGCACAGACACTGAATACTGAAATGGTAAAAAAAAAACAGAAGGAATACAAAATATTATAGAGCCGGGCATTTTGCTGATAAAACAAGAAGCATAACACACACAGTGACAAGAAATCATGATTTTTTTATACTACGGACGATCGTACAGATAAGCTATCAATGGGCATGATTCCCCCTATGCTTATTTATATAGTATATTATCTGTGTATGTGGCCATTCTTCATTTTGGGCGTGCGCAAAATACAAAGTCAAACACTTGACGACCGATAAAAGGGAATATGCCTGCTTGCTTTCTATATATAGTCCGGAATTGGGCGCGTTTTTTAAGAACTAAGCCGCGCGAAATTCAACATTATAAAGCGATAAATAGGTAAATAATTGGGCAATTTGTTTCCCTGCCACAATAAATACATAAATAATGGGAGAGCGTTAAAATTTCTCTGTCGGATTTCGCGATAAGCAACTGGCGTCGGCTTGTCTGAGGGCAGCTAAATTTAATACCTGTTCAAGCACCTGCCCAATAAAAATAGGCAACTACTCAAGTTTCTAGTGCAAAAAAATAAAATAAACTTGTGGCTAAGAAGAGGCAAAACAAAACAAAAGATTTTGTTATTAGCTTGGTTTATTACATTGTTTTTGTTATTGTGTTCTTGAGTTTTTGTTATTGTTTGTTTCTGTGTTGTCTTTAAAGCAAATGCTGCCGGAACATTCGATTCGATGAGTTTGCAACTTGTCTGGCAAATTGCAGCATTATTTAGAAACCGACGTGTGTCAGCGACATAAATATCTGCTCGTCATCATATTGTTTGTGCCTATCTTTATGATGCAGCACACGGCACTTCCATAGCTTTTGACATTTTTATCAATATTGTCTTTTATCAATTTCACAACGCCAACTGTGGCTGCAAATGTGGCATACACAGTAATTGTTGCCCTAGGCTCACCTGGCAGCCGCTACTCGTGTTCACACTAAATAGAAAAAATGCGGAATTGTGTCAGACAAACTCAAGACGCAATCTGACAGGCGCATTAAATCAAAACTCTGAGGACTTTATCATAGAACGTTTGGGGAAAACAAAAACTAACTCAAGCCAGCCGGGGCATGCCCAAGTTAACTAAAAACGGGCGTTAATTATTTGTAGACAGTGTCTATATTAAATACGCGCAGCTTTGTGTGCACCTGAGTAAGCCCTAAAGCCATAGAAAGCATAGAAAACAACTGAGCCAATAAGGCATTATATAATATGATATTTACAAATATTTGATTTGTGCATTTTGTGATAAATATCTAAGAATTAGAAAAAATGTCTGAAAAGCAACTTGGCAACAATTGGGCTGTACGTGGCAGCCGCCAGTCTGGCAAGCTGACAAACAAAAATAGGAAAAATAAAAACTTTTTATATTTGTCTGATAAAATAGCCAAATGCCGCAGTGGCACTTTAAAAGCACTTTATGCGTATTGTTGATTCATTCAAAGCTTGATTAGAAGTCTAAATACTTCACAAAATTCAAGTTTGTTTCTTTTTCTCTTTTTCAAATTCAAGATCGATGAACGTTAACCAAACAACAAGCCATATCATAAAATCATTAAAAAGCGCCACAGAGGCTAATTATAGAGGGCAAAACGCGGGAGCTGATAAGACAAAAATATATATAATAATATAATGAAATGCGCCTAGGCCAGTGTCTGACTATATAATAAAAAAGAAAAGACCAGAATGAACGAAACGCCGAAGTTGAAATACTCTTGCAGACAAGGGTAATGATTCTATGACAAGTTATCTTAATAAACACAAAAGTCTTGCATACAATAACACATTTTCCGATCAATTCTTCCCTTTCAAACTATATGATATAGTAGTCCAATCCTAAACCAGTTTTGACCATTTCTAAAGAACATAATAAAACTGATAAATTCCAAATTTATTGAAGATATCTTGAATAAAAAGTAGTTCATCAAAGAACTTGTATCAATAGAATTTTTAAATGCGAAAGTTGATCCAGATATCTTGAATAACAAGCAGATATTTATAAAATATCATTCAAATACAACCATATAAAATAGTATCCCAATAGAAACAGAGACCTGGTCGTAGATATTTATCGAGAATATTTATACACCTTGTGGACTCTTTGGTGTCTGTTTCTGTGCATGACACACCAATAATACCCTGTACAAGAGCACAAGCTGAACAATCAAATTGCTAATGGCAAATACGTGCTTAAGTCAAATTTTGTCAATACCAAAAGTCTATTTGGACATTCTTTTCGCCCATTTGTGGCATTTGTGCAAATTGTTGCTGAATTTGGAGTCAAGACGCGTGGCATAGTCCAAGCAACTCTCCCACTCTCTCTCTCTCCCTCTCTCTCGCTCCGTCTTTCTCTCGCTCTCTCTCAGGTCAGTGTACGCATTTCACAATTTACAGAATCTTTCAATTTGCATGCAGCAACAAATAGCAGGCGGTCACGTGCCGTATACTTGATTTAATATATTACGTATACGACACAGCGCACAGACGTGCGGTGGGAGGAGGGGGGGGGGGTGGGAATGGGGGCCGTAATTTGCATAGCTTTTGCGCTGATTGCAAGGGGAGTCCAATGCCTTGTTGACAAGCCAAACAGAATTTTGTGTGAAAATTAACATAAGCTGCTGGCCGAACCGGTTAACCGTTAAACCGTTTCAAGCGAGAGGGTGAGAGCTCCCTCAATGCCGAACTACGTCATTTAATTGAATTGAACTTGTTGGTCTCAAACTGAAACTGAAACTGAAGACCTGACTTGATTTGATTAAATTATATTTGTCGTGTCCGTAGATCACATGCCCGGGAAGCTGGCTCTTTTATCTATAGACAGCGTTAGCGTTGTTTATGGACCCGATAAGCTGTGACAATACGCTATTGTATAGTCGACGGCTCTACCAATAAAACAGACGCACTTCATACTCTATACAGGTGTTGGCAAGCCCATAAAACCGTTAACCACGATTACACCCATATAAGCCTGCTCGACTAGCCAAACTTTCTTATCAGCTGATGCACAAATTTCGTCATAAATTATGATATGACATACGCCTGCCAAAATGCTAACAAGTTCTTAATGTATTAGCCAGGCACCTTTGATATTTTGACAGCCTGTCCATAAAATTTCATTCAGCTGCGGAGATATAAGCCATTATGAATTGTGTTTGTTTTTTCAAGTAGCCTCTCAACCTTTTCACAAATGAGAACTGCCGCAGAAATTTCCCAGGCATATTCTCTATATGAATAATTTAAGTCAAGTACGAAGTACAGCTCATTGGCAATTGCATTATTCGCATTACATTCAAATAACTATCCACAATAACAACAATATAATAAAAAAAAACTAAAGCCACATAATTCACATGCATGCGTTTTAGTTTATCTTTAAACGTAAGGCCATAATTTAAGGCAAAAAGTTCGCAACGTTTTTTAAACTAAGCACATGGTAAAAACTTCCTATTTAACTTCAAGTTAAATACACTGTTAATTAATGGCATACTTTTAACTATCCACAATAACAACAATATAATAATAAAAAGTTAAAGCCACATAATTCACATACATTCGTTTTAGCTTAAGACAAAATATTCACAACTTTTTTGAACTAAGCATATGGTAAAAACCTTCCTATTTAACTTCAAGTCAAACACAATGTTAACTAATGGCATACTTTTAAAGCTGTGAAAGGGAACAGAGAAATTTCGAATACAAACTAAACCAAAAATTTGGTAGCTAGTCGCCAGAAATTTGGCACGCACTTCCTCATTAACATTTCCAATCTTTATTATTAATAAATAAATTTAGTTTTTGATTAACTTACATGCAATAGTTAGCAGCATTGTGTGCTCTTTTATGGCTGTCGTCATTTTCGTGAATGTTTTATATGAACTCAAGTAAAGTTTATGGATTTATATTTATAATTATATTTAGACACGCGCACAAATTGTTTATTTATGTTTTACACAAAACTGTGTTCGACTTGCTATATAAACTAACGTTTCCGCGTTGGCTTTAAAAGAAAATCAAATGAATTCCACAACGACAATTGACAATCAATAATGAAATATTGTGCATATATTATTTCAAATAAATCGTTTGCTTTCAATTGAATTCGAATTCGAATTTGAGGCAACACGCGCATAAATTGGCACGGGTATTACGATCCAACTAATAGTGTTCGATATACGGTGTTCGGGTTTGCCCCCCGCCCTAGGTCTCAATTTGACGTATAGCCCAAGTTCAGTGGCACTCGACGCGCTCTGCAGACACCGCGAATTGATCTTTCTGGTTCAGGTTTGTGTTGCCGACTGAGCGCAGCTCGCAGCAACTGCTGCTTGACAGCTGCCGACTGACTCGAGCTAGTATGGGTAAAAGCTACCCACCCCCCTACACTACACACTACACACTATACACTGAATCACACCAACACACACCAGCATACACCAGCACACACACACACACACAGAGACACAACCGGTTGGGCGCTGATCGCGGCGAGGCTTCAACTCGTTTTTTTTTTTAATTTTTCTAGGTAAAAAGTAATTTCAACAGTTTGCGTATTGTCGATGCTTTTACTTAGCGTAACGTGGCTAATTGCAGCCACTGACCAAAGCCAAGTAAATGGCTAAAACCAACAACAGCAACAGCAGCAACAACTGTCGCAGCCGGCAATGCAAAAGGCAACTGCAGAGCAATTGCCGAGCGCAGCGTTTTGCTCTGCACTTCACACACACACACACGCACACACTCGAGCACACACACGCACTGGTGTAATTTATAATTATATACCCATATACACAATAGCACCTCATGCAGCCAACATTTACGTTTCTGTTGTCGCTTTTGTTATTTTGCACATTTCTTGAATTCTGTTTAAAAATAAAACGAAAAAAAATGTGTGTCTCACAGCATTTCGGCTCGCTTGAGGGCGTGGCCCTAAGCATATTGATATGCTTATTGGGCGCGCAGACATGCTAATTGGAAAATTATAAAATTAACAAGCCTGGCAAGCTGACCGCAAAAAAAGTTGCACTTTTAATATATCCTACACATGACTACAAGTTGATAACAACTAACTCTAAATATCTATTAAATGTTGTTACGTAATTATGTTAAGCAAGGATTAAAAGCAAACCGAAAAGAACTGAACCAGGACTTCAATTTTTTTATCGAACCGCTTATCGAACTTTAAGCCGAACCAGTTGCCGAACCAGTTGCCGAACCAGTAAAAAGGCAAATTTAAACCCAAAGTATAAAATATGATATTTATTTTTATAAATTCATAAAAATTTAATAAAATTTTTTATTTAATTTGAAATTGAGAAGAATATACAAGCCAAGTATCAGCTTTAGCCAGCACCCTGGCTCAACGAATATTAACCCTCAGAGTCTCGAATAAGCCCATATATTCAATATACCCTCAGCAGACATCAAAGAATCCACGTGAATTTCATAATTTTCACGCTTTTGTCTTCACTTAGAAACAATCTAGACTCTGCCACCTGCCATTAGTTGCCTCATATTTACAGCTTGGAAACAGGTTTCTGTCCATTCCTCGTATATTCTCAAATGATTTAATTTCCAATGTGGACATAGTTTAATTAACGTCGGGCCGGCAATTGCGTTCTACTGTTTATATACGATACGTTATCTGACAACAGACTTCTTCTAGATAAAGCCAAACAGTAAAAAATAAGATGATCAGCTCAAATTAGTGGCCTGATTACAGACTATAACAAGTTTGTAATTGCGGACAGGTATATATGGAAAATTGAGATAGTTTCGACGTTGGCCCTGAACTTGATCCCAACAAAGGTCCGTACATTGACTTTTGTTGGTATATGAAAAATGTACATATTGTTGTTTAAATTGACCATATTTGATTGATTTGTTTGTAGTTTCATATAATTGATTTACTTTATTTGCTACCTGGCGTTGAACTTAGCCAATGCCAATGTCCAGTTTTCGACTGAACTTAAGATAGGTTTGACATTGGCATTGAGAGCTTTTAAAAAGTTGCAATTAAATTGTTGGCTTTATATGGTTTATTGTTGGTCAGTACAGTAGCCAGAGAGATCAAGTATACCTTGATAAGTATTAAAATTGCGTGTCAAATTAATTTTAATTACGTGAAGTCTAAATATGTTAAGACGAACCGGTTCACGTCATATGTTCCGATTCTTGCCATGAACCGAAACTGGAACTAAGAAAGAACCAAGAAAGCATGAGTATAAATATAATATTTAAATTAAAATTATAATGTTTAAATTTAATTTTAATTATTTATAATTAAGAGGAATGTAATGAATATAGAAAATCCCGATTTGAACCAAAAATTCCTTCTGTTCTAATCAAGAGTTAGGCAGAAACATACAAAAAACTTTCTCCACGCGCAATTAACTAAATCTAAAAATAAACTTTAAAAAAAACGCATAATGCAAGCCACTCTTTGCTGATTGTAACTGGTTTTCTTCTTTGCTGTTTGTTTTTGTTTTTTTGTTTTTTTTTTTTGGCGGAGCACGTGGCTGAATCACCTGGTTTTTGGCTCTGTGTCACCAGGTGATGAAACCCGCTTCAGGCAGTTGGTAAATAAAAGTTAAATGTAAACTGGTAGCTCCCCCGCGCCCCTGGCCCAAAAAGAGTTCATTTTTAACATTTAGTTCGTTTATTTATAGTTAGTATACGTATATGTGAGTGTGTGTATGCTTTAAATTGACCGTTAGTGTTTATACTTAATCGGCTTTTGCAATTACATATTTCGAGTATATATACTGTTGCTTACATAATACAATATCGCTTATTGATTTGCTTAAACAATTGACGACCAAGGCCCGCAATAACATAATTAATGTCTTTTTTTCTATTTAGTAATTTGTCTTTTGTTTACATTGTTTCACAAAAGCACGTTGTATATAGGTAAATATATATATATATAATACAGGTACAACTAGATGGAATGCCGCTAATTTCGTGGATTAGCCATGCAGCTAATACATATACATAGAGTTAATACTTATGTTACAATTAATCAAATGGAATCTCAAAATTTTCGCTAACTAGTTTAAAATTGTAGTTGGTATAATTGTGTAACTAATTTCTTGAGATTTCATTAGTGTTGAGTTCTATTTGAGTTTGATTGAGATTGTGGAATGCACACTACAGAATTTGTTCAACGGCAGAGCTTTGACATAAAAACATGTTTAGCAACAATTAATATGAACATAAAAAATTAAACATAATTTACGCGTATATATACAAAAATAAACAGGGGAATCTCATAATTAAAAATTGAGTAGCTGCAGTTGGTTGTACTTGATTACTTAGCTTTTGAACACATTTATCCACGGTCTTATATATATATAGAACAATACTCTTAGTTTTGGCCTAAAGCTAATCGAATATCGAAAACATAAAATCAGCGCATAATACTATAACGAATGTGCATATTTACATTGCATTTCTTCCTGCTAATTAATTGTTGTTTTTTGTTTTTGCTTGTTTTGTGGAATTACCTTCAATTACTTCGTGTAATTGGAAAAATACCTAATTAGTAGTGGAACTGTTACAACAATTGTGCTGCAATAAATGTGAGTTTGGCGCCAACATATTTTGGTTCTTATCGTCTAGCAAGAGCAGAGCAATCAACTAATTAACTATCGGCAGCCCTTATCTGTCGGGGAAAAGCGACTCGTAGCTGGGTGGCAAATCTTTGGGCGTTGCCGGCTGCTGTTGATGATCTTGCGATACTGGTGATAAATCATGTGGCAGCATCCCATCATATGACGGTGCCGTCGGCAGCTCAATAGTGGGCACATCGGACTGAAAGCAAGAGATTCTTGTTAAATACATAACTGAGGCACATATAATATTTGTACTTACCCGCAGACGTCGCTGGTTAAAGCGAGCGGCGGACGCTTCATGGGCGTGTTGCTGTACTGTGATGCAGTTCCAATACTTCCAGCAGATCCACACACAAAAGCCGACGCCCAACATGGTAAAGATGAGGGATGTTATAGCCGATAGAGCCACATTCGTTGTGTCCATTTCCTCGGGTGGAATGGCATCGTGGAAGCAGGTACCCTCGTCCCGGCACGGATACATGCAGTTGGTGATATTGTCACGCACAAAATGACGCGAAATGCAAGAGTATTGATCCTTCGGATTGCATAGAAAGTCACCCGCAAACTGGCACTCGGAATGGGCGGTCAGCACCATGCGCAGCTCCAGTGGATCGCCAAATATATGCCGATCCCGATCAATAAAGATATGCACATGCACATCACGATCCCGCTGATCGAAAATCAAACGTCCCGCGGGCCCATCAATGGAGATATCACTACAAATGCGTTCGCTGGGCGAACGATTCCCACTGGTAAATTGTATGTAGTCGATGCATTTCTTGGTCACCGGATCGCTCCTGAACTTTAACCGCGTGATGATTGTGTAAATGCCCCGCGGCGGACGATCGTTGGTCTGGACACGGAACTGGCAGTCGTATTTGATTTTATTGGCCGAATGGCCAAAACTGGGCAGCGTCACATTCCAAGTTTGTGTTATAATGGCGCCCGAGTCGTGGTCTTCGGTAAGCCGTAGCGTTGGATCGCCACGGAAGGGCTTGGCCAGCGTATAGAACAGCTTATCCGAGCACAGATTATCCTGCAGACGCACACTTTTATACCCAACAATTGCAGTTGGCGCATAGAACGCAATTGCAAGCGTCAATTTGAGCAGGGAATAAACGGAGCATTTATTCATTTTGTTAACGACACGTCCTGCGTAAGTGCGTCCGTGCTTGTATGTACGGCACGTCCTGCGTGCGTGCTATATGTGCTTCAATGTAAATGCAGACATACACGTTCGTTTGTTTGTTTCTTTTTATTGTTAATGTTTAAAATATTCCACGAATTTTTGTTGTTTTGCATCTGTGCCAGGGCTGCCAGACTACCAAGGCTAGCCAGGGCTGTACGCTTTAATAAATTGATAGACTTATCGGCGTATTGATAGTCGATATCGATGTATCCACTTCCAAATGTTCCTAACGGCTACGACGGCTCGAAATCACGATTTATTTTTTTGAAAATTACAATTATTTGTATTTTAAATTCTATACAAATGTACTTTCGTCTATTAAGTAATTAGTAAGCATAGTATCGTAATAGTCGATAGATAATGCTAAGCAACAGCTGTTTTGAAGGCTCTGCGATTACTCTGTTAAATTACATTTAGAGCGCCATGCGCTGTTTCGTTTAAACAGCCGTTGAAAACAATTTGTGACCATTAAATAATGTTTGAGAGCATTTTCGTGCACCAACCGCATTATTTAGTGATGTTTAGCAAGTCCAACAGGCAAGTAACAGCATTTTTTGTAGTAACAAATAAGCCCGCGCTGCTTTTAACAGTGCAGCATATTTTAAAGTTTTAGGGTGCCCACACCCCATTACATTAACTAACCACACACAACACGGTTGCAGCACCCCGCGCACCGAGCAACATTATTTATATTTTTTATTTCTAATAAGTCAGTAGGTGCCGGTAGTTCATCAAGGAGCAAAATCTTACGCTGAAAATCAGTTATTTAATTGTGAATCTCATCGAACACCTGTGCACTGAGCAGTTGTTGCTGTTGCCTCGTAATATGCCTGATCGGCCGTTGCCGTCACGCAAAAAAAAATCCTGTTGAGCTATTTCTAGTCAACCTCAACGTGAACGCAAACTGATGGCGACATCGGACTTTGTACTGGGCGGCCTGGCCTCTGTGGGCGCCACGCTTTTTACCAATCCCATAGAGGTTATCAAGACGCGCATACAGCTGCAGGGCGAGCTGGCGGCTCGAGGATCCTATGTGGAGCCTTATAAAGGCGTCCTACGGGCGTTTATCACAGTCGCCAAAAATGACGGAATGAGGGGCCTGCAGAAGGGCCTGACACCCGCGCTCTACTTTCAGTTCATCATCAACTCCTTTAGGTGAGCGAAGATCTGGCTGCTGCTATCTTCATTCTTAATCATAGTTTGCTATTTCATCATCAGGCTGAGCATTTACACAAAAGCGATGAACATGCATTGGATGCACGATAAGAAGGGCGACGTCTCCTTTGGCTTGGGTCTGGTGTGGGGTGCAGTGGGCGGCATTGTTGGCTCCTACTTTTCTAGTCCGTTTTTCATGGTAAGCGAAGCGCGAGGCTGTTACATAAAGCATGCCCCATTTAGACAACTTATCTATATGTTCGCCCAATGTCAAATATTGTTTGACGCGCGGCATCATGTGCGCTAATTTGAATTGCTGGGCAAGCAATGCCATGATTTCGGCTTAGATAAGACCACAATTACATTTGATAACACGCGTCTAAAAATCTTCCACATTTACAATGTTTGTAGATTAAAACGCAGCTACAGTCGCAGGCTGTCAGAGAGATTGCCGTTGGCCATCAGCACGCCCATAAATCGATGAGCGGCGCGTTCCGGGAGATTTATAGCACAGGCGGCATTGCAGGTCTATGGCGTGGCTCCCTGGCCGCACTGCCCAGAGCCGCTGTGGGCTCCGGCGCCCAGATAGCCACCTTCGGGAAGACAAAGACGCTGCTGGTGGAATACGATTTGGTCACTCAGCCCACATTGAACTCGTTCTGTTCGGGACTGATTGCCGGATCAATTATGTCCGTAGCGATTACGCCGCCGGATGTGATTAGTACGCGTATGTATAATCAGGGCATCGATGCGCAGGGTCAGGGCCTTAAGTACAAGGGCTGGCTGGATTGTTGCATAAAGATCCTTCGTACCGAGGGCATATATGGTATGTATAAGGGATTTTGGCCCAACTATCTGCGTATCGCACCACACTCCACTTTAGTCCTGATGTTCTTTGACGAACTGCTCGACCTGCGAGAGAAATATACACCTAAATTAGTGCACTCTTCCTAGTGCTGTTCTAGTCTTTCTTGTCTAACGCTAAGTACAAATTTGTATAATTGTTGCTAGTTTTGTGAAAACAAAAAGAAAATGACCAAAATTGCTCCATTCCCAGTTCCCAGTTCCCAGACTCAACCCCTCCCATCCCCCCTTAAAGCGCACTCAAGGCTGCCTAACTAGTATTAGCAGCTGTAATTGCGCTTTCATGACCAATTTTTTAATTTATGGTTAAAATAGAAGAAAAGAAATGCAAAGAAATAATATTTGCAAATCTGTTAGCTTTACAACTTAACCAAAAATTAAGAAATGGCCTTTGTTAAACTAATAGTATCCTGTAGTTAGTAACTATAACTGTGCAATACTTTTATTTAATAAAAAGCGTTATTTTGTTTATATTTTCTTTTAACTGTCTTTAATTTATTATGTAAGCACTGTAGGAGTTGTATAAATGAAATTAGTAAACCGGTTGTATTTCCCAATTAAAAAGTTATTATTGGTGCGCCATGTTTGCGTCACATTAAGTTGGCTGCAAGCGCAAATTTGAGTCGCTGTGGCGGTCGGTCGATTGCGGTGACTCCACAGATTATCTGAATCGAAAAACTGGAACAACGCTGATGAAACTAGTCGGCGACGCATATTAAATCAATTAGTTGCTGAAATTAGTAGTTAACAATGGCCACACAATTATCCCAGGTAACGCAATGGTTGGACAACTCAAAGGAGTCCGTGGGCAACGCGCTGCGTGACCCCGCCAAGCCATGGACCAAAGGCTTCGATCTCGTGGAGCAGCGGACTGGCGTCGATAGAGTAAAGATATTCACTGGTGAGTTCTGTCTCCAGCAAAACTCAACGTCCTTCACAATCGATCAGGACTAGACCTTGACGCACCCCCGCCGACTGCATAATACGTGGCCACGCATCATGACTAAGTGGAATTTTTAGTATTTAAAAATAGCAATCGCAATCTGTTATACTGCAGTAAGGCAAACATGTCATGCGGGCGCCAAAATAGGCACAATTGTTATACTAGAAAAGCAGGCTGGGATTACTGTTAGAACTAAATACTTTTTACAGCTCCACACACAGGCGCCCACAAAATACTCGCTCTCACACACACACGCACATACTCATGCATATGTGAGCAGCCTACATGCGTATGTATATTTTTCCAAAACGTTTTGCTCTTTTTTGTTTACTTCACATACAAATGCAGTAGAGTAAATTTTGCCCATTGTGGCGCACATTCAACACTCGATTTTTTCGCGAAACAAAAATAAATATTACACAAACGTATATTTTTAATTGACAACTCAAAAGGTCAAGCTGAGCTTCGACTTTGACCGGGTCGAGTGCTTTCGTGGCATTTTGTACACGTGTATATAGACGTGCGACCAGGTGAACACACAAACACGCATATGTGTGTGTGTGAGTGTTATGCTTTAAAAGTAACAACGCAACTGTGATAAAAGCCCTACCCGAAAAGCCTTAAATGTGGCTTTGGGATTATATTATGTTAATAAAACAGCGGCAGGCGGTGCGTCGAAATGTTCGAGTGCCCGTGGTCTATATTGGCTCAGGTGAGTCGCCGCCCGTTTGTTTGTTTGTGTGCGTGTGTGTGTATGTGCGATGCTTGTGATTCGTCTGTCGACACCTATCGCAGTGGGTACAGTAGCATAAAAAAGTACGCGAAATTCATTAGTTGAGGATGTGACGTCACTGACGATAATTATATTCGATATAAATTGCCAACCAACCTCCAAGTGGGAACCAATTATGCGTCTCCGCCGTCCGCTCGAGCGGGCAGGTAAAGCAACACTGGCCGCTGGGTTTTGGGCTTGGATCATTGCAACGCATAGGTACAAGACATTTATAATTTATAGGCGAATCGCGCGTGGCCAGAAATCAAGTGCAGATATGACAAGAGCTAAAAGGTTAATAATAGCCACACAGATGCGCCACGCTGCAAATGCAACGAAAAGGGCAATCGTATTTGATAGTTCAGACATAGCGCAGCCAGATTGAGATCAGAGCTCATGGCGTTCGAGGCATTGGAAGACAAGCTAGTTGAGCTTTTCAGAGAGAATCCGATTGTGCGCTTTGGTAGATCACCAATTAGTAAAAGTTAAACACTTAACGAATATTAACTTAAAAATTTCTTCTAGGTGCCGCCGCATTCTGTGCGCTCTATCTGATATTTGGCTGGGGTGCCCAGCTCTTGTGCAATATAATTGGTGTTATGTATCCGGCGTATGTGTCCATTCATGCCATAGAATCGAGTTCCAAGCAGGATGACACCAAATGGCTAACCTACTGGGTGACCTTCGGCATTTTCACAGTCATTGAGTTCTTCTCCCATTTTCTGACCCATGTAATACCTTTCTATTGGTTGTTAAAAGTAAGTACCAAGTCCTTAACTCGAAAACAAAAATTTGCATTAACCGCATTTACCTCTTATTTTCGCCAGTGCGGCTTCCTTATTTGGTGCATGCTCCCAATGGAGAATAATGGATCTGTTATTATCTACAACAAGCTGGTGCGACCATATTTTCTGAAGCATCATGCATGTAAGTGATATACATATATGCCCGATTTCTGGGACAAATCAAATCAAATTTATTAAATATTTACCATTTCAGCTGTCGACAAGATCATTGATGATGGGATGAGGAAGGCAGGCAGTGTGCTAAAAAATGACTAAATACGCCATTTTGACTAATTCGCTTCCTTAAGCATTTGTAGCTGCCGCATCCAGGAAAGGCCTCACGCCAAATTTTATCTTCAGTCACCATTGTCCATACTTTTTAAATTTATACTTGATTGTTGTTATGGCACATGCCGCGTGGTTTTGAAAACCCCTCAATTGATGAATTATATTATTATATATACATTAGATGTGTCTATAATGAAATCTCGGCTTGTTACACATAAATTGTAAAAAACAATGACTATTTATTGAGCAGATTAGTATGGATAATGCAACACTACGCCGTCGCGGCTTTCTCAGTGGTTTCAGCTGCCGCTCCTGCTGCTGCTCTGCGATTGCGCCATGCGGTCATGTAGGTGCGTGGATGTACGGGCAGTAAACCGGCGATGCCTAACAGCTCGGCCGCCGGCTCGGACATGTGAGCGCCTTTGCCCAGCCAGTAGCGTATGCGTTCCGTATTGAGGGCCACCAGACGCTCGTTCGACGTATTCGGTAGCGGATCGTAGGAGCCCACTTGCTCAATAACAGGCTGATGTTGGTTCTTGCGACGCTGTAAGTACGGATTAATGAGATACGTTATTGTATTTCAAAGTGGGACTCAGACCTCCATAACAACAATGTGATAGAATGGACGATTCGTGCAGCCTAAACGCACAAAACGAATTACTTTGGCCGAATGTTTGTAGAAGCGACCAATGCCACTGGCAGGTGACAGGGACATTACAGGAATTATTTAAAACTTTACTTAACAAGAAAATGTGTTATGAAAACAGACCGACAACCGATATCGATTGTCAACAAACGAGCTATCTGTTATCGAAATATTAATTTGAAGAAATCGAATAACCTTTGACTTACAACATTGATAGGAGAAAATTAAATTAATTACAGGACCATAATCGAAGGACCAAATATACGCTGTATAGTGAAATGGATGTATTTTAATAACACTGCATTCATGCAACTCTGTGTGCTGTGCACTTTGTGTACACACTGGTCACTCATACAAAATGGCGTCAGCAGTCGAACACGAACACTAAGGAATTTTTCAGTGGTGTCTGTGTCTGTGAATTTATATTGGGGGTAAAAAAAACTGTGTGCGTTTATTTTGTTTATAAATTTTATTGCAAATACGGCACATAAATACATAGCGCGTACACACACACCAACACACACCAATTCAAAAGTGCGCTTATCAATGAATTGAATTGAATTTGAGGCAGCAGCAGCAGCAAGAAGCACGCCAACGCCAACGAAGTGAATTTTTCGAGGGAACGGAAAAAAATGGCGCCCGCCTCAGCCACAGAAGCAAGTTGACTTTCTTTTCGGTGTGTGTAGTTCGTCGCCGCACTCGTCGCTCGTTTTCGTCGCATATTTGTCGCGATCAAATAGTGAAAAAGAGAGAAATATTGCAAATTGCATCAAAAACGCGACGTCGACGTACAGCAGGAGGCTAGTATTTTGTACGTGATTTTGTATAACTACATACATATACATATAATACAAATACAAGCAACAGAAAAGTGCAATTACATTTGCGTTTGGAAATTTTGCGCTTTTTTCTCTTTCGCCTCCCCCTTTTTCTGCTTTGCCTCATTTATAATGTGCGCTGCACAGAGCAATCCGCCGCCCTTCGGCTACGCTTGGGGTTTTGCAGACAACGGCAATCGTGCCGCAGAATCAGTTTTGGAGATATCGCCAAATATTAACTACACTGTCAGTGGGGAATCGGTAAGTGAAGTCTCAATTTGTATGTATACTTCGAATTTCCTTCGTTGCATATCAATTTGTTTTATTCTTTTTTCATTGTTTCTTTCCTTATATCGAATGCGAGTGCTTTTGCAAGTGCAAGCTGCTTTGCTAAATAACCAATCGACCCAACGAACTAGCTAGCCAACCCCCTCCAGCCACCCACGTAATATATGTTGCTGTTGCTTTCCCACAGCGAATCGTGTTGTGTCTTCTCTCCGCTCCCCTTTTGTACGTTGTTGTTGGCCTAACAACAGCGCCACATACACACAAGCACACTGATTAGAGATGGCTACCCAATGTGGTCGTGAACACGAATATCACGATAATGTTTAAATTTCATGAATTCTGTACTAAAAATGAACAGAAATGAAAAGTGCTACTGCTATTCACATACAGAGTACAGCTTTAAAGCACATTTAGTTCTCTCTCGATACAATATTTATATAATTTTCATGTAAACGAGATAATTGGTTTTGGCTGACTAAAGTAAATGTCACGCTCCCATCACTAATACAGATACAGCTACGTCGTTCGCTCGCTCGCTCACTCGCTGGTTTTGCGCTCTGTATGTATAAGTGCATCGGCCATATATATGTGTATGTACGTACGCAGGGTTGTGCGCGTGTATGTATACACCTACGATATGCATACATACGTGAA